GACCTAATCTGCACTACAGAACAAATGGACCCAATAGACATTACAGAACAAACACACATTCTTCTTCTCAGCATACATATCCTTCTCAAGAACAGGCCATATGTTAGGTCACAAAACAAGTTGTAAAATATTTTAAGAACTGAAACAATATCAAGCATCTTCTCTAACTACATGGAATAAAACTAGAATAAGAACAACTTTGGAAACTATACAAAGACATAGAAAATAGGCAATATGCTCCTAAATGACCAGTGAGTCCATGAAGAAATTAAGAAGGAAATTTAGAAATTTCTTGAAACAAATGATAATGGAAACACAACATACCAAGATCTATGAGACAGACTGAAAGCAGTTCTAAGAGGGAAATATGTAGCTGTAAGTGCCTATAACAAAAAAGAATAAAAATTTCAAATAAATGACAGCAATGCATCTCTTCTTTCTTTCTTTCTTTTTTTCCCAGAGATTCACTCTGTTGCCTAGGCTGTAGTGTGGTGTCACAATCATGACTCACTATAGTCTGGACCTTCCTGGGCTCAACAATCCTCCCTCCTTAGTCCCCCAAGTAGTTGGGACTATAGGCATGCACCACCACATCTGATTAATTTGTATTTTTTGTAGAGATGGACTTTCACCATGTTGCCCAGGCTGATCTCAAACTTCTGGGCTCAAGTAATCCACTTGCCTTGGCCTCCCAAAGTGCTGGGATTACAGGCATCAGCCATCATATCCAGCCAGCAATGTATCTTAAAGAACCAGAAAAGCAAGAGGAAACCAAATCCAAAATTGGCAGGAGAAAAGATGAAGATCAGAGCAAAAATAAATGAATTTGAAATGAAGAAAAGATCAATGAAGCAACTTTTTTTTAAAAGATAAAAATTAGCAGAGTAACAAAGAAGGGAGATGACCCAAATAAATACAATTAGAGATTAAAAATGAGGCATTACAACTGACACTGCAGAAATTCAAAGGCTTGTTAGTGGCTATTGTGAGTAACTATGTGCCAATAAATTGGAAAATCTAGAGGCAACCGATAAATTGCTAGACGCCAACATACAATCTACCAAGATTGAACCATGAAGAAATCCAAAACCTAAACAGAACAATAACAAGTAACAAGCTTGAATAAAAAATTTTTCCCAGTAAAGAAAAGCCCAGGACCTAATGACTGCACTGCTGAATTCTACCAAACATTTAGAGAACTAATACCAATCCTACTCAAACTATTTCAAAAATTAGAGGAGAAGGGAGGACTTCCAAACTCATTTATGAGGCTAGTATTACCCTGATACAAAACCAGACAAAGGCACATCAAAAAAGAAAACTACAGACCAATATCTCTAATGAATGTTGATGCAAAAATCCTCAAAAAATATTAGCAAACCAAATTCAATAATACATTAAAAATATCCTTTGCCCTGACCACATGCCACCAGAGATGCAAGGCTGGTTCAACATACACAAATCAATGTGACACATCATATCAACAGAATGAAGGACAAAAACTATACAATCATTTCAACTGATCCTGGAAAACCATTAGATAAAATTCAACATCCCTTCATGGTAAACACACTTTTAAAAATAGGTATGAAAGGAACAGACCTCAATATAATAATAGTCATATATGACAGACACACAGCTAGTGTCATACCAAATGGGAAAAACTGAATGCCTTTCCTTTAAGAACTGGCCGACCTTCACCACTGTTATTCAACATAGTACTGAAAGTCCTAACTAGATCCATCAGGCAAGATAAAGAAATAAAGGGCAACCAAATCAGAAGGAAGAAGTGAAATTATCCTTGTTTTCAGATGGTATACTCGTATATTAGGAGAAAACTAAAGACTCCATCGAAAACTATCAGAAGTGATAAACTCAGTAAAGTTGCATGATACAAGATCAACATACAAAAATCAGTAGCATTTCTATATGCCAACAGTCAACAATCTGAAAAAAAATTAAAAAGTAATCCCGCAAATAAAAACGTAAGGGTCACAAATCAAATTAAATACCTAGGAGCTAACATAACCAAAGCAGTAAAAGGTCTCTACAACAAAAACCATTAAACATCAATGCAAGAAATTGAAGAGGACACGAAAAAAATGAAAAGATATTCCATGTTCATGGATTAGAAAAATCAATATTGTTAAAATGTCAATGCAACCCCTTTCAAAATGCCAATTGCATTTTCACATAAATAGAAAAAACAATCCTAAAATTTATATGAAACCACAAAAGACCCAGAACAGCCAAAGCTATCCAAAGCAAAAGGAGCAAAACTGGAGAAATCACATTACCTGACTTCAAATTATACTATCGAGCTGTAGTAACCAAAACATCACAGTACTGGCCCAAAAACAGACACACAGACCAGTAGAACAGAATAGACAAAAATCCAGAAACAAATCCATACACCTACAGTGAACTCATTTTTGACGTTGCCAAGAACACACACTGGATAAAGGATAGTCTCTTCAATAAATGGTGCTGGGAAAACTGAACATCCACGTGCAGAAGAGCAAGACTACACTGCTTCTTCTTCCCATATACAAACATCAAATCAAAATGGATTAAAGACTTAAATCTAAGACCTCAAAACTATGAAATTACTAGAAGAAAACATTGGGGAAACTCAGGACACTGGAGTAGACAATGATTTCTTGAATAATATGTCACGGGCACAGGTAACCAAAGCAAAAATGGACAAATGGGATCACATCAAGTTAAAAAGCTTCTGCAGTGAAAAAAACAATCAATAAAGTGAAGAGACAACCCACTGAATGGGAGAAACTACCCACCAACAAGGGATTAGAAGGCAGAAAATATAGAGCTCAAACAACTCTATAGGAAAAAAATCTAATAACCCAATTTAAAAATGGGCAAAAGATCTGAATAGACATTTCTCAAAAAAAAAAAAACAGACAAATGGCAAATAGGCATAAAAAAAGGTGTTCAACATCATTAATCGTCAGAGAAATGCAAATCAAAACTACAATATCATCTCACCTCTGATAACATGGCTTATATCCAAAAGACAGGCAATAGCAAATGCTGGTGAGGATGTGGGAAAAGGGAACCCTGGTACACTGTTGGTGGGAAGGTAAATTAGTACAACCACAAAGGAAACAGTTTGGAGGTTCCTCAAAAAATTAAAGTTATCATATGGTCCAGCAATCCCACTGCTGGGTATATGCCCCAAAGAAGGGAAGTCAGTATATCAAAGAGATACGTGCACTTCCATGTTTGTTGCAGCAATATTCACAACAGCCAAGATCTGGAAGCAACCAAAGTGTCCACGAACAAATGAACAGATAAATAAAATGTGGTACATATACAGGATGGAGTACTATTCAGCCGTAAAAGATAACGAGGCCCCGTCACTTGCAACAACATGGGTGTAACTGGAGGTCATTGAGTGAAATTGGCCAGGCACAGAAAGACAAACTTCACATGTTCTCACTTATGTAAGGGATCTGAAGATCAAAACAACTTAACATACCGAGATAGAGAGTTAAGGATGGTTACCAGAGGTTGGGAAGGATAGTGGGGATACAGGGGAGGGAGATAAGGATGGTTAATGGGTACAAAAAATACAGTTAGAAAGAATGAATAGTTTCTAGTATTTGATAACACACAGGTTTATTATAGTCAAAATAATTGTACATTTTAAAATACTAAAAGAGTATAATTGGATTGTAACACAAAGAATAAACTAGAGGGGATGGATACCCCATTTTCCATGATGTGATTATTATGCAATGCATGCCTGTATCAAAATATCTCATTTACCCTATAAATATACACACTTACTATAACTACAAATGTTAAAATTTTAAAGAGAGCGAGTAAACAAAAATTAATAAGAGAAACCTTATATTGTTCGCTTCTGCAGGGGTGGGAATCAACTCCTCAACCCCTTTCCTAGCTTGTCTCAGTTTTCTATTATGTGTTTTATTTGCAGGGGGAAATTCTGTTTAGGGGGTTCTCTAAGCAAAAATGTAATGAATCTGTCATTCTACTACAATGTGGGGTCCTTTTGTACAAGTATTTTCCTGCTTTTCAGACACTAGCAAAAACTAAAAGATGAAATAAAAATATTTTTAGTAAACCATTTCATTATAAATCTAACTAGCAAATCTGTAATCATTATCAAAATATGTTACTTGGAATGTTATGTATGATACATTTCTTATTCCTAAACTAACAAATAATCATTGATTTGTATAAGGCATTAAGATAAAATATTGCCCAGGTTTCCTTCCCTGGTTCCATCAACTTCATTTTCGGGGATAGGGAGGACAGAAAGTAAGAATTACAATTAGATAAGAACTGGTAAAAGCTTGAAAGTAGACTCTTTACTCCTCTAAGGAGAGTTACTCTATCCTATCAATTAATAATGATAATTTACAATGACAGTTTAGACAACTGCTGCATCTAAATGGAAAATACTTTTTCAGTGGCTTTCAGAAAATGTGTGCTTACTAAAAACTTATGCATAGGCCGGGCGCGGTGGCTCAAGCCTGTAATCCCAGCACTTTGGGAGGCCGAGGCGGGTGGATCACAAGGTCAAGAGATCGAGACCATCCTGGTCAACATGGTGAAACCCCGTCTCCACTAAAAATACAAAAAATTAGCTGGGCGTGGTGGCGCGTGCCCGTAATCCCAGCTGCTCGGGAGGCTGAGGCAGGAGAATTGCCTGAACCCAGGAGGCGGAGGTTGCAGTGAGCCGAGATCGCGCCATTGCACTCCAGCCTGGGTAACAAGAGTAAAACTCCGTCTCAAAAAAAAAAAAAAAACTTATGCATATACACATCCCCATACCTATGCATATATACTCATGTTCAGTTTGTAATAATTCATTGAACTGAACACTCATGCTTTGGCTAATTGTGTGTGTGTGTGTGTGTGTGTGTGTGTGTGTGTGTGTGTGCATATAAAAAATTAAAAAGTTAAAACACAAGCCTTTGTATGGAATTATTAATAACTGTACATTTACTTACTATTATTTCCTTAGCTTGTCGAACCACGTCAGCTTTTTTTGCCTGCAATTCTGCATTTAAACGCCTAAAAGCAGAAAATAACTGGAATACACTGAAGATCCTAACAAAAATAAAAATTAAACTTTAGCAATTACACATTATCAAGTGTCCTAATCAACAAATGCCAATATATACAAATAGCATTCTTACTCTAAAATGAATACAGCTGTTAAGAACTTATCCAACTCATGATTCCTCCTTCCTTGTGGTAGGAACTCAAACACTAAGTATTAGCCTTTCTGTGGCCCTCTATTAACTTCAAGTGAACTAACATATCTGACTAATACATTTAGGAAGAATGAACTGGTCAAGTTCAACTGTGTTCCACTCACTACCTTCTTGGGATTAGCCCACCAGCAGAGAATACAAGTTCTAACCTTGCTTCTCCAGAGACAGGCCCTGTTCTAATTGTGGGCAGGGTGTTGGGGAGACCTGCTCTGGTTTGGGTGTTACTGGAACTGGGGAGCTAAATGTGAGTTTAGTGAGCAGACCCAATGTGGCTCACATTTCAGCTACACACTTTAATGTCAAGCTTCCTCAGAAATAAAGGTGACTATATTGATCTCTACCTATCACTCCTTTTTAAATTATGCTTTTTCATTCTACTTGGAAACTAGCAAGAATAGGAATACTATTTATTTGATCCTCCATTAAGACTGCAAGAATGACAATATTATTGAAAGAAATTGTTTTTAAAGGAAAAACTGCCCATAATCCTACCACTGCCATCCAACTGTTTTTATTTTTAATATTCCCTTCCAATTTTCATCTATAGCATATACACAATTTTATACTGTTTTCCCACAGCGATATAAAAGGAATATCTATCTCGATGTAATCTTTATAAGCATGTTAAATGGCTATACAATAATTCAATAAATTGAAATTAACATAATGGACTGAACTCTGTTGCTATTGTTAAGTCCCCCTTCACTTTTAAAGGTTAACACCACAATAAACATATTGAAAAACATATAACTTTTTCTGCTGTTGAAATGTCACGTTTCTAGACTATCTAGGATCCTTTGAGGTTATGTGAAGGAGACATGTTAAGGATTTTAAAAATCAAGTATCTTATTTTTCTTAGACATGTAATTCAGAAGTAACACAAAACAATTTCCATCTGCAGGGAAAAAAAAGAGGAGATCAGTACCATAACCTTTAACAGTATGAAGCTTTAAGAAATATTTCTGTATCTTAGGTTTACTTGGTCAAAAGAAACATACCTAAGAAAGACTTAAAGGTGTCTTAAAAGTGCCAATTCCTGATTTTTCAAATTTCCCTAACAAGAATCACAGGGACTTAAATGGAAGTTTCCAATTAATATAATGGACCCAGATGACTGAGAAGACTATTCTCTAAATCCACAGAAATGTCTGATAAAATGTAATGGAGGAAACATTGCTAAGCTCAAACTCAGGCAAAGGAAATTCCCTGGTACTAAGAAGAAAGCAACAATTCAAAGTGAGAGCAATAAACAGGAACAGAAGGCAAAACAGCTTAAAAGCTAGAAGCTGACGCATGTGAGTCATGAAGGGATAAACCTGTGAAGCACAGACTACAACTCTACCCACAACCTTAGGTGAGCAGAAATGAAACCAGAGCCATGGGCAGAAAAGATTCTCTTGTGAGTAATTAAACAAGAGGGAAGTCCAGATTAATCTTATCCAGATGATACAGGGACATCAAGCCAAAACTTTAAAATAGAAAAAGCTGGTGTGGAAACAATGAAAACTCTGAACTAGTAGAGGTAAATTGAAAACCACCCTATAGGGACATTACTCATCTACAATATATGAACTTTCTCAGAAGCAAACTGCTAAAGATGACTTTGAAAAGATAACAAATTGTGTAAAGAAATAAGTCACTGAGAGAGAGAATCAGATGTGAGGAAAGAGAAAATTTGTATTATAAGAACAAGAGATACTATTACCAATTTGTAAAAGATTTTAAATTACCATTTGGAAAAAAACACAAAGAAATAAAAAACATTAGGCAAGACCCAGATTTTATCACAAAAGAATGCTGAATTTAAAAAAGATCCAAATACAAATTACATAAATGAAAAACACAGTCACTGAAATTAAGAAATCTGATAAAAAGGAATGTGTGAATTAGAAGACAGATAGAAAGCAATCACCTACAAGGAGATACAGAAAACAAAGGGATAAAAACTCAAAAGACAGGTTAACATCCATTGAAGACAGATGTTATGTACCTACCATAACAGAAGTTATAAAAAGAAATCCCACAGAGGGCTGAGTGCAGTGACTCACACCTGTAATCCCAGCACTTTGGGAGGCTGAGGGGGGCAGATCACGTGAGGTCAGGAGTTTGAGACCATCCTGGCTAACATGGTGAAACTGTTTTGACTAAAAATACAAAAATTAGCCAGGCATGGTGGCAGGCACCTGTAATCCCAGCTACCTGGGGGGCTGAAGCAGGAGGATCACTTGAACCCAGAAGGCGGAGGTAGCAGTGAGCCGAGATCCTGCCATTGAACTCCAGCTTGGGAAACAAAAGCGAAACTCCATCTCAAAAAAAAAAAAAAAAAAAAAGCCAGGTGTGGTGTTGCATGCCACTAGTCCCAGCGACTCAGGAGGCTGAGGCATAAGAATCACTTGAACCCGGGAGGCGGAGGTTGCAGTGAGTCAAGATCTTGCCATTGCACTGCAGCCTGGGCAACAGAGCAAGATTCTGTCTCCAAATGAAAAGAAAAGACATCCCAAGAGGAGAGAATGTCAATATTTAGAGAGCTAATGCTCAGAATCTCCCAAACTGAAGACATGGATCTCATGAAGAATAAAGAAAACAAATCTACATGTGAATACACCACAGTGAAAGTACAGAATTGTAAAGATAAAGAGAGTACTCCCTAAACTACCAAATCATTATTTCAAAAGAACAGAGAAAAATAGTCTACCAGCATAATTATCTAAGAAGTTGACAGCAGATGGCTCATTAACGTTTTTCTAACATTATATTTTCTATCCTTATATTTCCAACAGACAATGGGCTGAGAAGGAAGAACTGGCTATCTAGAATTACACTGAGATAAGCTGTCATGGAAGAGTAAGTGCAAAGTAACAATTTTCTAAGAGACTGGAGAGTTTAAGACTTAGATTTTCACAGAAAGAAGTAATGAAGCGTCTACACTTCAGGAAGGAGGAAAATGGAATCTGGAAAAAAGGAATCATGAAGATATGGAAAAACATGCTAAATCGAAATTAGTACAGACTATAAAAATAACCCTGGTGATTAACTGGGTGTGGGTGTATTCAAAACAACAGAGCAAAATAGTATCTAACTTAAAAAACAGAGGAAACCAAGTTAAAGCATTCTAACATCTTTCCAAACCAGTAACAATAAAGACATAATGAAAACCCATCAATCCAGCAGCAGACAGACAAGAACCAAAGACAAGACATAATAAATAGGAAACATAAAAAATAAGGTGGCTAAGACAACTTCAAGTTACGTAATAATGTAAATAAGTTAAATTCACTTATTAACATACAGAAATTATCAGACTGGTTATAAAAAGAATGCTCTTACTGATAAATGGCATACAAAGTTTGAAAATAAAGGATGGAAAAAGGTATAACAGACACCGCATAAGAATGAAACAATTCAAGAAGATTTACATAAGTCAAATAAGATACTCCCAAACAAGAATGGTCACAATTACAAGGAATTTTTTTCTATAATTATAATTGATGATTTTTAACACACTTCTAACAGAAACCAATAAAGCCAGAACAACAAAAAAAAAAAGTTGAGGAAACCAAAGTAATGGATAACAAATATAATTGGTTTAATCTAACAGATTAGCCAACATAATATACTTTCTACGAAGAACACACAGAACTTCTACAAAAAGTGAACATGCTCTTGGATGCAAATAAGTCTTAATACATTTAAAAAACTTAGTATCTTATCAATTCTCTAATCATAATGCAATTTAAAATAAACTAGGCCGAGCATGGTGGCTCATGCCTGTAATCTAAATCAGAGTAATGATACCTCGGGAGGCGGAGGCAGGCAGGTTATTTGAGTCCAGGAGTCAAAGACCAGCCTGGGCAACATGGTGAAACACCTTCTCTACAAAAAAATAGAATACAAAAATTAGCCTTGCATGCTAGCACATGCCTGTAGTCCCAGCTACTCAGAAGCCTGGGAGGTGAAGGTTGCAGTGGGCTGAGATCACACCATTGCACTCCAGTCTGTGAAACTTGAGCCTCAACAGAGTGAGACTTTGCCTCAAAAAGAAAAGTGAGCCTGGCATGGTGGCATGTGCCTGTAGTCCCAGCTCCTTGGGAGGCTAAGGTGGGAGAACCTCTTGAGCTCAGGAGGTCAAAGCTGCAGTGAGCCATAATTGCACCACTGCACTCCAGCCTGGGCAACAGAGCAGGACCCTGTCACATACATACTTAGAAAAATAAAAAGCAGACAACAGTAAACAACTCTATGTGCTTGCAAACTAAAAAACACACTGCTAAATAATCACTATGAAAATGTAGAACATCTAAATAGATAAGTAACCATTAAAGAAGCTAAATTCATAGACAAAAAGAGTCTCCTTGACAAAAACACTAGACTGACACAGATTCACAATTTTAATCAAAGGGCAAAAGATCTCTAATTATAAGAAGCTTCCAAGAAAAGAAACAAAACAAGAAAACTACTCAGTTTATTTCATCTGGCCAGAATAATATTGACATCAAAGGACAAGAACTAGAAAAAAGTGTAACACCCATTTCACTTTTGTTCATAGATGCAAAAACCTACATAAAAAATTATACCAATCAAACCTAGCAGTCTTTGAAGGAAAACAAGAAAGCTGCCTTCACAGTTCAGTATGTTAAAGCATTAGAGGAGGGGAAAAGAAAACACCCCCACCTGGATTAACTGGGGGAAAAGAAGTTTTGATACATTTAACACTCATTCAAATTAGAAATTAAGGGGAAGAAAAAAAAAAACAAAAAAATAGAAAAAAACCAAACAAACAAAAAAAGAAATTAAGCGGAAGAATTTTAAACATAAAAAAAAAAATCTACCAAAACCCTGGAGCAAACTTCAAATTAGTGATTATTAAAAGTGGGCTTCTCAGAATCATACACAAGGTAAGGAAGCTCACCATCACTTTTTCTATTCCATATCACATGGGAAGTCCTAAACAGAGAAAAGGAGAGAATGCAGGAGAATTATCAAGGGCAAAAATGATCATAATTTGCATATAACTGTCTTCATCAAAAATGCAAGGGACATCATAGAATGAATAAGAGAGTCCAGCAGGACTGAAGATCTGTGTGTGTATGTAAATACAGATGTAGCACCAACATCTAAAAATCCTACATTTATAACCAATTAGAAAATGTAATAGAAAAAAGTCCACTTCTTATATAGCAACAAAAACTATTCAGCATCTTGAAGCAAATTATATATGCAAGAATTTTATGTAGTAAAACAAAACACTATTAAAGGTTAAGAAAAAAACCTGTAAATGGAGAAGTATCATATTCATGGAAGATTCGATAGCATAAATAAGTCTGTTATCTGCAAATTAATCTGTAAATCCAATGGAACTGGGACTTATGAGGGGGCTTGCCCTACCCTCATAAATTATCATGTAATCTTATTGTTTAGCTATGGGTATTATAATACAGGAATGAAGCTTGAAAAATCTATCCACTTGAGTGATTCTCATCTTCCTTAGTCTATCCTCTCAAATAGTGATTCTTTCCTCCAACAGGAGCAGAATTGCAAAAGGTTTTGGATTCAGGTCCCTGGAAAGTAGCGTTCTAATGACTAATGCCGAGAAAACCGGTGGCAAAATAGATACCACACTGTTATAATCTCATATTCTTGCTTATAGGTGTGGCCAGACATTTTACACTTCTACCTGACACCGAAGTTCTCTAGAAGATTCAGGTAGTGTAGAGAGTCACTCCGTTCAAATGCTTCACGTGTACATAACTCAGAGTACAGACAACAGAACAAGTAACAACTGGACACCATGTAATACTATTTAGCTATCTCGCTTTATAAAACAACTCATGCTAGCAAATAGTCCCTGTATATTTCTTATTTTAAGCAGGACTCTATCCCTAACGCTGCACCAGAGCCAGGTGCAAAATATACTCTCCAATAACTGAGAAACCTAATCCAGGTATTTAATAATATATGTATAATAATACTGAAATAACCATTTTGATTGATGCACAGCTTATAAATATATATGACAACAGATTAAGTTGCTTAAAGGACACTTGTGAACGGGATAATAGGCCCATTTGATCAGAGAGAAGATATGATTATCTTCCTACTTGCTGTGGTAAATTGGTGTATGGTTCATCTAAACATAGTGCTCTTCAGTTTTCATTTCAAATATGCTTTAATTTTAAATTTAAATATACATTATATGTAGATCATACAGTAACTAGTTTAACCCTCGGATAAAAACTCCCAACTATTTCCAAATTTTAAACCACTTATTTTACATTAAGTTAAAAAGAAAGGGAGTTGTTAAAAGACACTTTTTGATAAGGGTATGCACGATGGCAAATAAAACAGACATGGTCTCTGCCCTTGGAACTTACAGTCCAGTGGAAAAGACAGACAAAAAGGAAATTAACAAATGCATTTATGGTAACAAATTATGCTAACTAGAAAGAAAAATCAGTAAGATGATGAAAAAGCCCAACAAGGGAGCCGACATAGCATGGTCAAGGAAGGCCACTCACAATGCAGGTTGAAGGCCCGTGTGAATTGTCTTTTGCCTGAAACAGAAAAAAAGCCTGAAAGAGTTTTCGGACTAAAAGGCCAGTTAAGCTGGAGAGGTTTGGGGGGGAAATGGGAGCGGGAATAAGATCAAGTAAAAAGGGGGAAGGAAGAGCTTTTAAAGTGCAACAGGAAACCACTGTAGAGTTTTAAGCAAAGGAATTGCATGATCAAATGAAAAGATGAGGTTGGCTGCTGTGTGAAAACTTAGGGATGATGAGTGGAATAGGCCAAGAATGAAAGTTTGTCAAGATACTTTAATTAACTGAGACCAGATAAGGAAAATCTGAAGGAGAACGGTTGTTCTGATTGCACTGGGAAGCATGCTTTCAATTTAGAAACCAATGTAAAGGAAATTTACATAAGGTAAACCCTATGAACTTGCTACTAAGCGAAATAACCTAAACCAGAAACAGAACTATTCGTGGCAATTCCTGCTACTCAAATAACTTCCAAAAGCATATTGCTGTTTACTTGGGCTAAATTTTCACCCACTTCAAATATCTTCTAAGACGCAGGTGAACTACTCAGGTGAAAGAGAAAGGGTAAACGGCGAGTGAACGAGATGACGAGAAGGGAATGCTGCAGAATGAGTGGTCCTGAAGATCCAGCCAGTCTTCAGAAAAGTACTCGTAAGCAGCCTCATTTAGATGAAAGAAAGAAGGAAAGCTCAACCGCCGAATTTCTTACTTATATTCTTCCTCCAAAGCGAGGAGGTCGGGTCCAGGTGTAGAGGGTTGTTGAACGGGTGGCAGGAGCGGAGTCCCTGGAACGCTGCCTCTCTGTAAAAGAGGCAGAGAGTTTCAGACCCGAAGATAAAGGAGGTTAGGCCTAGTCGCCGAAGCCCAGACACTCCCCAGGAGCCTGGAGTTGAACCGACTATGAGCCCAAGACCTCACCAGCCATCTGTGGCAACTGCGACGTGGTTACCGAGGCAACGACGCATCTTCCCGGGAGTGTTTCCACATCCCGGGCAACCTCCCGTCCCGAAGCCTTCCCACTCCCAGGTTCTGTGCGGAAAGCGGTGGGAGGCTCTGGCATGGGCCCCACCCTTGCTTGCTCCACTCAGCACTGCCCCAGGAACTAAGTGCAAATTCGACTTACAACCAGTGCAAATTATCAACTTAGGTGGGGGGAGTTGTAGGAGTTTCAACCAAAAAAGGCAGGTCCATTGCTGCTACTCCACAGAAAGCAAGCTGCTGAGGAAGTCCCTCCCTGTTTGGCTTTTCAAACCCTTAGTGGCTAATCTGACCTTCACTCGTTTGCTTAAAGTGAACTCTTCAGTGGAATTCTGGTTTTTATTTCTAACTTTTCTTTACAGCATGCACGGCTAATATCTCGGGCTCTCAGGTTAGTCACCCTAAATTCTTACACTGGCACTGCCACTTAGTAGTTACTTATGTGGCCTTGGGCGAAACACTCTGTATCTTGGCCACTTCATCTGTCAAAAGGGAATGAGAATAGTGCCCATTTCACAGTTGTTGTGAGAAGCAAATGAATTCATGCTTAGGATCATGCCTGAAACATGTAAGCAGTTAATAATTCCAATTGTTTTGGAAGAAAATGGACGTCCAGAAATAAACCTTCATGTGTGTATGGTCACCGATCTTTAGCAAGGGTGCAAGACCATTCAATGGGAAACAGATGGGAAGACAACTGGATATCCTAGTGTGAAACAATGCAGTTAGATCCTTACCTCACATGGTTTACAAAGATTAAAATGGATCAAAGACCTAAACATAGGAGCTAAAACTCTAAAGCTCTTCAAAGAAACTGTTGGTTTAAATCTTTATGACCTTGAATTACAATTCTAAGAATCTTTGATGGATTCTTAGCTATGACAACCAAAAGCATTACGAAAAAAAAAAGAAAAGAAAAATAGATAAACTAGACATTATCAAAACTAAAAACCTTTTGTTTCCAAAAATACCGTATTGGAACATAGAGAAATGAATAATTAATTCTGCATAAGAGAAATGGGGGGAGGAGTCAAAGGGAAAGTGATGGTTCTCTGACTGCTTCTAGGTTGAGAAGGTAGCAAAAGGCATTTCAGGAAATAGGATTTATTACCAAAGATATGAAAATAATGAAATATATTGCCTACATAGAAGCTCTGAATTCTTTGAACAGCAATCTGTTCCTAGGTGATGGGGATACTGATTAGAAAGGGATATGGAGGCTATATTTTATAGTCTTGTATGAAATGCTTAGTTGCATGCACATATGTAGGTATGTTTTTCTACACCGAGTTTATCCACAAAGCATTTTAGGTGGCTTCTGAGAGTTTGAGTTTCAAGCTGTGAGCAAATCAAATATTATAACAAGGAGGAACATGATCACATCTGAGTCAGAGAGGTCTCAGGGACAGCTGTGTAGACGGTGTCCTGGGGTGGAAGTAAACTGAAGTAGCAGGATAAGATTAGAATGACCGCTAATATTACAGATAATAGATTGCAGTAGGCCAGGTGAGAGGGAGTAGGAGATATTTAGATAGAGCAGGGGGAGTGGGGAGACCATTGACCCCCTACCCTGTCACCCTCCTTCTTTTTCCACCTTTTCCCCTTCCCCCTCTTCCTCCTCCTCCTCCTCTTCTTCTTCTTCCTCTTCCTCTTCGAGAGAGAGAGAAAGAGAGAGAGACAGAGTCTCCTTCTGTCACCCAGGCTGGAGTGCAGTGGTGTGGTCTCCACTCACTGCAACCTTCACCTCCCAGCTTCAAGCAATTCTCTTGCCTCAGCCTCCTGAGTAGCTGGGATTACAGGTGTGTGCCACCATGCCTGGCTAATTTTTTTGTATTTTTAGTAGAGATGGGATTTCACCATGTTGAACAGGCTGGTCTCGAACGCATGACTTCAAGCGACTCACCTGCCTCAGCCTCCCAAAGTGCTGGAATTACAGGTATGAGCCACCTCGCCCAGTTCCTACATCTTCTTTTATATATAAATGGGACCATCACCCAGGTGATGTGAATTATCTGTCTGAATCCTGCCTACAAAGAGAATTGTGTCTTATATCTAGGTCTGTTATGTAAACAATGTGACTACCTTCTACTATGGCTTTGCACTTAGGGTGCATTGTGACACATAACTGAGTACTGCACCAAGGTGATGTGATTCTCCTTTTTTGGTTCTGCCCAAGAAAAGCATTGTAACATATCACTTGGCTCAGCAAATAGGTGGTGTTTCACTGCTTTTGCCTGGGCCCTGACCACAGGCAGATTGTGACACATTGCTGGGCCCAGCATCAATGTGAGGTCACTCTTCAGCCCTGGTACTGGATATAAGGGCCACATATATCTAGGCCAATTGCCTAGGTGAAGTGAGTCCCATCTCTTTCCAAAGTCCTGCTTGTTGATATTCACTCGGGGTGGCTGGCAAGATATTAATTATTAGGAAAAGTTATAGGCTGTATTTTAAAACCTTTTGGGAGGCCAAAAGGTTTTATTGAGGCATGCTGAAGGCAGCCGCCTCATTAACATTAGCACAGGAAAGAGAGACGATCCAAGGCCTTTAACACTTTAAGTGTGTTTACCCCACATCCCTTGGTCTCCACTCCGTTTACTCATGTAAACTTTGTGATGAGTGACCCTCTCCGTGAGAGCTCAAAGGGGAATTACATGTAAATAGTGTTTCCTCTTGGCCCAGAACCTAAAGGTTTCCTCATTCATATAACCACTCTTTTAACCATGTTAATTATCCACAAGTGTGTTAACTTAGAACCTCTGTTGCAAATCTGGATGGAATAAATGTGTGGATAGACAGAGGGTGTTGGTCAATTGGTTGCATTTCACCCTCTGAAAGCAGCCAATGGCCATCCCTAGCCCACTTGTATCACTGTAAAAAAAAAAGCGCCAGTGAAGGGAGGTGAGGGGAGGGTGCAGCCCTCCCTTTCAGGCATCTCAGCCCCTGCCTTTTCTGTGTTCCTCCCCCTTCCCTTCTCCCTCCCCTCCTGAGTCGCTTCTATCCTCAGGATAGGAGCAACCAGCCCACGCACCTCACCCAGGCGGTGTCCCAGGAAGGCCCTCTTGGCCAGCTGCAGAGTCAGTACAATTGGTGCAGCCAGCGCCGCCTGTCAGACTTCACTCAAGAACAGTACCCACGCTGGGTACACCAGGCCTGCCTTGCCCTGCTCAGGCCTGAGGTATCCTCCCAACCTGTGGGAGGAGGCGGCTCTCCATTGGGTCACATCTGGGAGCTTTGTTTAGAATTAGTCCCAGGTTGAGATCCCCTTCCTGGCTTCAAGACCATGACACATTCTTTTCTCTCTGCCTCAATGATCAAACAAGTCCCAGTTAGCAGCCCCTGCCTCAGAGGGTTGCTAAAAGGACTCAAGCCAGAGTGGTAAAGCACAGGGCACTGGGCTGGCAGATGGCAAGAAGCAAGGAATCGCCCCAGTCAACCGTGTCCTCTCCTGCTAAAATCCCGCCCTACGAGGGCGCCAGTCATACTGGCAGTGCCCCATGAGCCTTCCCACTCATTACTTCATTGATCCAAAGCAAGATCTGTCTCTTCTGCAAGCCCACAAACCCCCTCCCATGTCCCAGGCCCTGCCTTTGGGAGCTCCTACTCTGATGGAGGAGGTCAGACTAGGAGCTCCCAAGGGCAGGGCCTGGGACAAACTCTCACATCAGGCCAAGGCAGGAGGGAGAAGAGAAGGGACAGACACTTGCCCTCAGCTGGGCCTCTAGCCTGGACCTGTGCACCTCCCAAGTGCTCACCAGAGAGCCCTCCGGCTCCCTCCCACAATCTTCTGCTTGTCCTTTAGTGATTTTACTAACAGATCAGAGAGGCCTTGGTTCTTGCTCCAGGTCACATAGTCAGAAGTGGTGACAGACTCCCAGGTCAGCTCTGGGAGCTGACAAGTACAAGTCCCCAGACTACATTTTCTTCAGCTTTGCTAAAGGCAGAGGACTGAGAGCTTCCTTGGTCAGGAGAGTCCTCAGCTCTGGACCACACATGTACACATGTACACATGTATACATATACACATGCACACATATACACATGCACACATGTACACATATACACATGCACACCCGCGCACAGACTCCTGGCCTGCCTCAGCCTCTGGCACTGTGTGGGGTCACTGCAATTTGAGCCAGAACTCTTCCTTCTGCACACCCTCAGTATTCTTATGAAAATAGGGCCAAGGACCTCATTCTTAGAAAGCCCTGGGAGCAGAAGCAGGCCCCTCTGGCCCCAAGCTCTGGCCAGTCCCTGCTGTGTCGGTGGGGGCCATTGGAGTTAAGCAGTTAAAGAGATCTAATCAGACCTGTGGCCAGCAGCTCCACCATGGACGGTTCTTGTGAAAGTAGTTGCAGAAGCTTGAGGTTTTGAGCTGGCGAGGGGCGGGTGGGCAGGTGGGGAGGATCTTGGATATTGCAGCTGAAAGAGGCCCAGGAAGGGAAAGCTTCCTTATGGTCTAGGTAGCTTCTGGATTCTGCCCAGGCAGGGCCAGGCCTGCCGCAGCATCCACTGACCCAGGGCTGGCCTGGCCCTGGAAGAACAATGCCCCTGAGAAAAGGCACCAGATCCTGATGGATGTACAGGCACAATCCATTCCCCGACTCAAGAGCCATGACAGGCAAGGTGACAGCAAATGCTTTCATTTCACAAATACGTATTCAGCCCCTGCCAGGCATTGTGTAGGGTAATGCAGCTACAGTGGGCATCAAAACAGGCACACATTTTTTTTGGTGACATTCACAGACCTGCCGAGACTGAAGCTCAGTCAAATCCAACCACAGACATATGCGGTTCATGATGTTACTCTCTAGGAAGGGAGCTACAAAAATAAGGAATGGGAAAGCCCAGCCTATGGAGATGGGACAGAAAAGCTCCCTGTGGATGGGACCTGGAGGATTAATGGGAGTTGGCCAGGCAAACAGATGGAGGAGGCTTCATGGTTATGACCGAAAGCAGGAAGGAGATAGGCCCATTTTGGAGACTGAACACCAGTGGGTTCAGAGGACAGAGGAATAGAGGGTGAGGGGGTAGACACTGGAGAGGAAAAGTGGCAGGTGCCAAACTGTGCAAATCCCTGCAGGGTCCCTTTCCTCAGGATCAGTTGCTGCAGAGGAGACTGGAAGTTTACGGGACCAGCAGTGCCAAATCTCCCAATGCCTCATACTCCCAGAGCCACCAGGTAGGGAGGGATAGCAGCAACTGTAGGGCTGTCTGGTCAGGG